CCCGTAGATGAAGTCCCGAGTCCAGAATTGAATGAAGCACTACTGGCCCTGGCTAACTCTGAAAATAAACTCCAGCTAGAACAAAATTATGGTTCATGTGATATTAATCGAGAAAGCTGTGTGGAATCATATCCAGAAAATAGTTGGAGCAATACGATGAATCCAGATGTACCAAGTGATACTCAAAATCACTGGGAGACAGAAATTTATATTGAACCAAGTTATCCGATTTCTCATGAAAATGTACCAGGTATGATTTCTCATCATAATGCACATAATTTTGGTGAAATTCCTTATAACAGTGAGAAAGCTATATCGGCTGAACCAAAATGTGATCGAAAATCCAATCAAATTGATTTAGATGTTGATTTTCCTAGCAACCTGGTATCCACTAATGAGATTCAAAATGAATTTGAAGAAAGTGTTGCAGAAGAACCAAATCCTAATTACTTTGAATCAAATAACCCTCTAATCATTTCTAGTGGATTCTACATTCAATGCAAGAAACATGGTTTAAATAAAGTCATATTAATTTTAAGTTGGAGATATGAGGATCCGACATTATTTCGTGGAGGAGGAGAATGTTGGAGAATTCAAAGATACACATATTTTTTTGAGAAATCAGAATCTAAATTTTGGATCTTCAAAAACAAAAAGGGGGAGGTGTTATATCCGAACAAAGATTAAATCACGAGTAACTTCTGAGACATTAATTGACTAATATTATCTATATATTCTTACGGTGTAATTATTTAATAGTTGGATTATGTATATTTATATTCCCCTTATCATAAGCTTCACTTTGACCTATAATTTATCATTGTACGATTTACTGTCCCTAAATTATGCCCAGTTTATTAATTACTGTCTCCCACATTCACAGCCACTTTTTGGCCTATTTGTGTACACATGTTAGTTTCTATTTTATTGTACGTTGTGGTCTGCCTGATTGATATATAAACCGAGTATGTCTGAAATAAATGATTTGGTTCGATTTGGTTGATTCAGAAGCTGGTATTGTGTTCTGGACTCAAGAGGACGAGTTAGAAGGACGTAGGACCCAATAGGACGCTAGACTGCTCAGACCGGTTGAACGTCATTGGTCTTGTCATAGTGCGAATATTCGTATAAGCCGTATTCTGATTGGTGTATAAGTCACGTGATCGTAAGCCGGACATCAAAACATAACAAATTGGCGACGGGGATTTTGGCACGAAAAAAAATAATACAACAATTAGTGACTCAGATCTTGAAAAGAAATAAGCTGTAATAATTGCCGGTGATATTTTTTGGAATTATTATTATTATTAGCAGTAAAAAAAATATGGCGATTTCTTTTGAACAGTTGCAGTTATTATTACAGCAGCAGCAGCAACATCAACAACAATTTCAACAACAGCAGCAGCAACAGCAGCATATGTTAGCCTTTCAACAGCAAATATTTGAAACAATTATTGGCAGACTTTTCACTCAACTAGAAAATAAGAAATCTATTTATGATGCAGACAAGGGTGCAGTTATGGCCAGTTCAGAGGCATGCAGCTTGGAGGGTTCAAATCCCTTTATACCTGAAGCAAAACGTAATATGAATAAGTTGTCCGGTTCACAGCAAGACAATATCTTGCTAAATGCACATGAAATTGTGACAATACCAGATGGTCAAGAAACAGGTCCCGTAGATGAAGTCCCGAGTCCAGAATTGAATGAAGCACTACTGGCCCTGGCTAACTCTGAAAATAAACTCCAGCTAGAACAAAATTATGGTTCATGTGATATTAATCGAGAAAGCTGTGTGGAATCATATCCAGAAAATAGTTGGAGCAATACGATGAATCCAGATGTACCAAGTGATACTCAAAATCACTGGGAGACAGAAATTTATATTGAACCAAGTTATCCGATTTCTCATGAAAATGTACCAGGTATGATTTCTCATCATAATGCACATAATTTTGGTGAAATTCCTTATAACAGTGAGAAAGCTATATCGGCTGAACCAAAATGTGATCGAAAATCCAATCAAATTGATTTAGATGTTGATTTTCCTAGCAACCTGGTATCCACTAATGAGATTCAAAATGAATTTGAAGAAAGTGTTGCAGAAGAACCAAATCCTAATTACTTTGAATCAAATAACCCTCTAATCATTTCTAGTGGATTCTACATTCAATGCAAGAAACATGGTTTAAATAAAGTCATATTAATTTTAAGTTGGAGATATGAGGATCCGACATTATTTCGTGGAGGAGGAGAATGTTGGAGAATTCAAAGATACACATATTTTTTTGAGAAATCAGAATCTAAATTTTGGATCTTCAAAAACAAAAAGGGGGAGGTGTTATATCCGAACAAAGATTAAATCACGAGTAACTTCTGAGACATTAATTGACTAATATTATCTATATATTCTTACGGTGTAATTATTTAATAGTTGGATTATGTATATTTATATTCCCCTTATCATAAGCTTCACTTTGACCTATAATTTATCATTGTACGATTTACTGTCCCTAAATTATGCCCAGTTTATTAATTACTGTCTCCCACATTCACAGCCACTTTTTGGCCTATTTGTGTACACATGTTAGTTTCTATTTTATTGTACGTTGTGGTCTGCCTGATTGATATATAAACCGAGTATGTCTGAAATAAATGATTTGGTTCGATTTGGTTGATTCAGAAGCTGGTATTGTGTTCTGGACTCAAGAGGACGAGTTAGAAGGACGTAGGACCCAATAGGACGCTAGACTGCTCAGACCGGTTGAACGTCATTGGTCTTGTCATAGTGCGAATATTCGTATAAGCCGTATTCTGATTGGTGTATAAGTCACGTGATCGTAAGCCGGACATCAAAACATAACAAATTGGCGACGGGGATTTTGGCACGAAAAAAAATAATACAACAATTAGTGACTCAGATCTTGAAAAGAAATAAGCTGTAATAATTGCCGGTGATATTTTTTGGGATTATTATTATTATTAGCAGTAAAAAAATATGGCGATTTCTTTTGAACAGTTGCAGTTATTATTACAGCAGCAGCAGCAACATCAACAACAATTTCAACAACAGCAGCAGCAACAGCAGCATATGTTAGCCTTTCAACAGCAAATATTTGAAACAATTATTGGCAGACTTTTCACTCAACTAGAAAATAAGAAATCTATTTATGATGCAGACAAGGGTGCAGTTATGGCCAGTTCAGAGGCATGCAGCTTGGAGGGTTCAAATCCCTTTATACCTGAAGCAAAACGTAATATGAATAAGTTGTCCGGTTCACAGCAAGACAATATCTTGCTAAATGCACATGAAATTGTGACAATACCAGATGGTCAAGAAACAGGTCCCGTAGATGAAGTCCCGAGTCCAGAATTGAATGAAGCACTACTGGCCCTGGCTAACTCTGAAAATAAACTCCAGCTAGAACAAAATTATGGTTCATGTGATATTAATCGAGAAAGCTGTGTGGAATCATATCCAGAAAATAGTTGGAGCAATACGATGAATCCAGATGTACCAAGTGATACTCAAAATCACTGGGAGACAGAAATTTATATTGAACCAAGTTATCCGATTTCTCATGAAAATGTACCAGGTATGATTTCTCATCATAATGCACATAATTTTGGTGAAATTCCTTATAACAGTGAGAAAGCTATATCGGCTGAACCAAAATGTGATCGAAAATCCAATCAAATTGATTTAGATGTTGATTTTCCTAGCAACCTGGTATCCACTAATGAGATTCAAAATGAATTTGAAGAAAGTGTTGCAGAAGAACCAAATCCTAATTACTTTGAATCAAATAACCCTCTAATCATTTCTAGTGGATTCTACATTCAATGCAAGAAACATGGTTTAAATAAAGTCATATTAATTTTAAGTTGGAGATATGAGGATCCGACATTATTTCGTGGAGGAGGAGAATGTTGGAGAATTCAAAGATACACATATTTTTTTGAGAAATCAGAATCTAAATTTTGGATCTTCAAAAACAAAAAGGGGGAGGTGTTATATCCGAACAAAGATTAAATCACGAGTAACTTCTGAGACATTAATTGACTAATATTATCTATATATTCTTACGGTGTAATTATTTAATAGTTGGATTATGTATATTTATATTCCCCTTATCATAAGCTTCACTTTGACCTATAATTTATCATTGTACGATTTACTGTCCCTAAATTATGCCCAGTTTATTAATTACTGTCTCCCACATTCACAGCCACTTTTTGGCCTATTTGTGTACACATGTTAGTTTCTATTTTATTGTACGTTGTGGTCTGCCTGATTGATATATAAACCGAGTATGTCTGAAATAAATGATTTGGTTCGATTTGGTTGATTCAGAAGCTGGTATTGTGTTCTGGACTCAAGAGGACGAGTTAGAAGGACGTAGGACCCAATAGGACGCTAGACTGCTCAGGTGATGCGTTCAAACTAAGTTCCACTTACCTTGGTTCAAGCGATTCGGAAATATTATCAGCTTTTACTCTTGTAATTCGACTCAAAGTTAACCTGATAAGTGGGTTGAATAACCCTATTGAATAAATGTAAATGTGAAAATGAATGACAATGTTAAAAATACCACGAACACTATCAGATCCCTCAAAATTACAGGTAGTTTCCGCTGATAGATATCGACTAGCAAGAAAAATAAGTCAGTCTAGGTTTTATACCTATTGCCTGACAGTAAAAAGATTACCAAGTCTACAGTGAACTAACTTGTAATTTGTTATTCATTGTCAGTTGAAAAAGTATTCGTTAATAATAACTATTCTATTATATTAGTTTAGCTATAAAATGTTGTAAATCACATGAATAACCATTCGTTTTATGTTTTTATATATGACTAACTTTATATTTCATCCCAAAATTTCCTTGGCATAATACAATAAGGAATGGAATATTAGGGGTCACATTGCAAATAAATATCATAATACTTGCTGGAATTAAAAATATACTACTGTTAAAGTTGTGCGTAGTAAGTGAAACATACCTGAACTTTGTATGATGTTGCTGGTTTGAGATTGTTTAAAGTGCATTCTGTTCGTCCCTGAAAAATATAATTAGACTGAATACAATTTGAACTATAAGTGCCGGTAGAAAAATCTTTTACATCTCCTTTACCGTCACCAATTTCTATAACTGACATTATTTATCCATGGGTTAATTTACAAATAAGTAAGTAAATATGTATGCTTCATTGTTGACCACAACTATCAAATTTTTATTGGGAACCTGGGAGTATTAAGCAGCTTTTGGATTAAATCACACATAACCTCATCCTAATAGCTCTAGTAGCAAAGTGTTCACTAAGAGACCAAATGATGCTGTACTCAATCCCTAAAAGGATCCTGGAAACGAGTAGTTATTGAGGACAAAACATCTGTCCAGTGCTGTATGGTTTTCGGTATCACCTCGAATGAAATCAACCATGACGAATACTACCTACAGCAATTTACTACTAGTTTTTAGAATAGTATGAATAATTAAAGGCTATATATATTAATCAAACTAGGAAGTGATTCATTTTCAATTAGCCAAAGTAAATGTTAAGAGAAACCATTATAGAAATAATGGAAAATTAATAATATGTAAGGTTATCAGTATAGGGTTGTAAAGACTACTAAATTATTAATTGAGATCTTGAACCGATTGATGTTAGACCACCATTGAGAACCTGGAAGCACTGGACGGCCGTTCCGTCCTATTATGGGACTCCTCAGCATTGCACATCCACGACCTCGCCCCCTGCGAGATTCGAACCCAGGACCTGCTGGTTTCGCGCGTGAGCACTTAGCCACTAGACCACTGAGCCGGCATCCAACGGTGTTAATGTCTAACTTTAACCAATCCACGAAATTGCGCGACCATCTTCCATTGTAGTGAGTTAGATGCCTATCTCTACCCGACAAGGAATAACTCCACTGGTATTGTGTTTTATTCAACAAAATTATTTTACTTAAATAAGATTAAGAAAAATTCAAGCCTTAAAAGGGCAAATTAATCAATAACCTTACATACATTTCAATGTAAAATTAAGTGATTTATATACAGAGATTAATAGGTTGCAGAATAATTGATGGTTATATTAGTTTTCTTCTGTATGGTTAAGCTTGAATTCAACTTATTCACAGAATATTAATTATAATCGAATATGGAAAGTGATTCAGTATTTCTTCAGTTACTAATTACAGCAAATCTATGATTGACTCTCTGTGAGTAATATAGATGAAATGAGAATTAGTATTAAAGTTCATAAATATATAGGGTGAAGGAGAAGAATTACAGTTCAGTACACAAATTTCGAAGGTTGAATGAAGTTGTGTAAATAAGAACTTTCATCGAGTAGATATCATTCTTAGATTTGAACATTTTACAGGTGCATTCGCATGAAGACTTGAGAAAATACAGTGATGAAGTTCGACTACATTGGGAGTGAGCAACTTACTGAACGGTACTATTTAATGATTATTAGGCTGTATCGTGAATTGAATAATGTTGAAGAAAATTGATGAGACTTGAATTTTGATTCTGTGTGATATACAGAATATCTGCCGAATGGTAGTAATGCTAAGTTGTGACAACGCAACCGTCCAGCGTACTGTAGTTTTCAACAGTTTTAAACTAATGCCAACTCGTGCAATCAATACTATCTTTCAATCGAATTGCTATCTTCGAACCACTAAACTAAGTAACTATCATACGAACATAAACATATTGTGCCATCAGAATTCTTATCTTACAAAAGAATATCACTGTTGTATGTCTTTTCAGTTTACAATAAATTAGCGCGCTAATAAAATATACATTTGCAAGCTTATCTTACCGCATTGATAGTTTGAGTGAACTGAATAAGAGATTCTAGTGTTTGTCCATCCGTATGTAAGTAACCATGATCAATTGACCATGTTATCTACCAATGGAAAGAAATGATAAAATAAACGATTGATTAAGGGATCCTGTCTATATATTCAACAATTTCCAGTTATAAATGGACATTCAGAGGAAGCAAATTTCAACTTACTAAATATTCTGTTAACGGTAGATCACTTCGCTCCGGTGGCTGCCATTTTAGTAGAAGACTTATCTTACCAGATGAATACAACCTCCACATTGAATCGGTTACATTTCTAGGTGATCCTGGTGGTGATGGTCTGATTGCATCTCTAGGATAAGCGTTTGTGTTTGAACCAAATCCTTTAGTACCATGAATACTGACAGCAGCAATACGAAATTGATACAATCGTCCAGGTTCAAATGCTTCAAGATTTGCTCCAAATTCATGAGTCTAAAAATTGGCACAAATCAAACATACATACACACACACCTATATATATAAATATACATGAAGAATAATCATTGGAATAAATTATCTTTTCCACAAATTGTATTCAGTTGGACAGATGCATGATTTTTCGTATGACCATTTATTATTGAATTAAACCCTCATCTATAGAAACTGGAATTGTAATATTTTCAACATATAAGAACCTTCCCAGACATAAAAACTGTGATTTCGGTTTCACTCTAATGCTAGTGAGTTCATAGAGAAAATCAGATCTGATGTTAGATTAAATATGGTTCTATGTCAATGAATATGATAATTAGAAGTATTCGAATTGATGTTGTAACTGAGAATTTCCGATATAGTGCTAATTAAGATAGATAGGACTAGATGAACACAAATGAACAGATTGTATTGACATATGTATTGAGCAGGCAATCAAGTACAAAGGAATCATTAGTTCACGCATATACTCAACAAGTGGATTGAAAATTACTTCTAGAGGAACATCTTAGTAAGACGTGATCTGGGATAGAAGTTCAGTGTCTAAAGCTGTGATGTGGTGTTGACTGGAGAAACATAGCACTCCTTACCAGAGGTTGGTTAAAATTTCAAATAACCAACATTAGGATTATTTCAAGGAATTAGAAATCAAATTAATCCACTTATGAGTTTGTAAATTATAGACAGGAACTCAGAAGAATGGTAGTAAAGATTTATAAATGTCACAGTAGTATTACTAAATAATACTTACCATAATTAATGTTTGCCATGTTGATGCATAATTTTCATCAAACACCTTACAAATACATATTCTTATTTGTAATATAAACACAATTGGATTCATTGTGTTAGTTATATTTTGATATTATGAAGACCACGATAATTTGATAATATTAGTATTTGTTGAAGATATGGTAGAGTTCAGATGAATTGGTAGAGGTGGGACAAGTTTATTGTAGATGGGCTATAAAAAATGAAAATGTATATACACAGATGGCTCCATCTAATGATGTTCATAACAAATAAGGGTATTTCAATAGTACAATGTGGCGACAGAGTTCGTTTGAAAAAGTGTGATGTTATTACCACAGGAAGTATGTTGAGATTGTTGGATTTTATAAATTACATCACCTTGGTTAGATAACCATATAAAGGTAAGAAGCAGTGGATAACTGTTTCTTCCTAATGCGGGACCACCCAACAATGGCCATTTAAGACCTCACCAACCATCAAAACTAGAACCTTCAAGCTCAGAGTTGAGTGTTCACTCACGAGACAACTGGGCCCCCATACAATGGTTTATGTGACTGACATCAATCAATTTTCGATATTTCACAACCATCTTTTGATATGGTTGGAGGATAATTGCTTCATGCCCAACATGAATGAATTTCAGAGATCATGACTTCTCACTTGAACATTTTGCAACACCTCTCGAAACTAGACAGTGCCATCAGGTATGAAAGTCCTGAATTTGCCATCTGGTGGTATGTTTAATACGGATTGTTAAAAGTACTGTACTGAGACGAAGCTGTTTAGTGTTTTCTTCATTTCATTTCTTTTCTAATCAAAATCAGTCTATAGTAAACTGAAATTTTGATGTAGTTACTCTATACATTTCTAAAAAATACTAGTTTCATTTACATTTGTCTAGGTATTTGTCTATGAAAAGCAGTAATGATTGAAAATAGGAGGGAAGGAAAATGGATGATAAAATATAAGAAAAAGAATAAGAAGTTTTTTATGCAATACTAGGATGGTGACACTTTTACATTTATAGGTTCTTTGACAAATATCTATGCGACCAAATTGTTCATACAAATTTTTACAATAAATGCATAACATTTTTCAGATCAATAAAATTGGTACAATTGATTTAGTTGAATATCTAAACTTTGATTTAGGTTTGAATAATACAATAGATAGATTATATGCATAAATTAAACTGAATTCGAAAAATGTATACCATCGAATTCTAATTAGATCATCATCTAATAGTACTGTATGTGACATGAGGTTTAAAAGTTTTAAACTTGTTTCTATGCAAAGTCATGAATGTGTATAGTAGAAAAATCATGTGTGATGTATTGTATTTATTTCTTATCAGTTAGAATCTTCAATACGAACGTCAAGGCAGTTCTACTGTACGGAGCTGAAACTTGGAGAAATACAACAACCATCATCAAGAAAGTACAAGTATTTATCAATATCTGTCTACGCAAGATACTCAACATCCATTGACCGGATACCACCAGCAACAGCCTTGTGAGGGAAGGAACAAACCAGCTTCCAACTGAAGAGGAAATTAGGAAATGGATAGGAAGGCCAAAGAACACATTACGTCGGGAACTGGAAGCCGATATGAAAAGGATGAATAACAACTGGAAAGAGCTGGAAAGGATTGCCCAAGACAGGGTAGGATGGAGAATGCTGGTGATCGGCCTATGCTTCTTCACTAAGAATAACAGGCGTAAGTAAGTAAGTCATCTATTTCTCTCAAGAAGTACTTTTTTATGCAGAGGAAAAAAGTGTAGAGTAGTACTAGAATACAGCAAGGTATTCACACTCAAACACACATAACACAATACATTGTAGTGTCTTATTGTGGTTTGCGCTACTAATGTCGACAGATATGACTAGTATGTATCATCAATTGAAAGTGAAATGCCTGGAGGCAGAAGGTTAAGAAGATGAAAGCAAAGAGAACGAGAACTAAGAATGATTGGTGTGGAAACGAAAAAACACTGAAGTATGAGACGATTGATTGATATTTTGCAAATGAACTATTTACTGTATGGTTCTCAGATTTTACTAAGATGTTCTGTAATTTTGTGTTCACATGCATTTGATTGTCCTCATTTGTGTTCTTATTCACTACACTATGTGTAACCTCAGTAGAAAGCAATTAGATATTCTTTTGTTTTGCAAATTATTATTAACTGCATACAAAATAGGTGGTATTTATTTCAAATAAACACATCAACGCAAAGTATATTGTCATATTAAATAATAATTCATTTATTTGTAGTACTGAATTTTTCTCAGTTCAGTTGGTCTCTTTGTAAGGATTTCTTTAAGTTCGGGGTTCAGTTGCATGTAGGTTTTAAGCATGTGAAATCTCAAATCTTTACACAGTATATATTTAGACATTTTATAACGAAATAATAACTTTTATTGTTATCTATTGGGAATAGTCTCAAATTCGGTCCTACTCTGGTAGTGCAACGTGAACTAGATCTTTAAGAAATATTATGTAATTTCGATCTGGATAGATGATGGGAAATGATAAGAAACTCAAAGTGTGGATTACATTCAGCAAGATGTGTCTGTAGTTTTGTGGAAACTAATATTTTTAAAGGTAAATGAACTGGGATTACTCAGTATCAAAATTTAACCATGGTGATCTTGAGAGGAATTCGTCCCAGACCATTCTGTGGGGCTCAAGGAGTAGTGAGGCTGTGTTTTATGAATCAACAAGGGCGGTCTATGGAAATTTGTGTAAGCCACTACACTACTGCGAAATCGGATCCAAACGAGATGACCTCGTGTCAGACAACAAGAGACGGAGCATCTATGCCTATGTATATGCCATGAGAGTTTTGGATTGATTTTATCCGTGTCTTTCATGTCTATGTATAATGTATAGTTACATTAAAACAAAGACTGTTAAGAGGATGGAATTTATGCATATATATGTTCTGAGAGGGTATAAGTTTTTGATACATATGTTTCTGGTGTCCACGTAATGTATAATTATATAACTGTGATTTAACACTAACGAGTAGCAAATAAGAGGACCACGGAAAAAATCATCTTACTCTTCATAAGTCGAATCTATAATTTTGTGTACGCTGTGAAATGTATAAGTCAATTTGATTTGAATAGTTCAGGGGTATTTGGAAGGTTTGTTTATCACAAAGATTCTGTCTCACTTAAACTGTACAGCAAAGCCTAAATGGTGCAAACCCTGAACGTTGTCTCTAGGCTAATCAGCCTTTCCGGAGAGCTTTAACAAATATCAGTGGCTGGGATGGGGCACCATTGAGATAATACGATTGCAATTCACTTCCCTTAAGACCAAGAAACCTGTATTAATTAACAATTTGATGGTAAACAATGTAATTCTATCCCACAATACATTGATCATTAATAACAGTCAGACATGATTTTGTATTCCAATTATTTTAATAACCGAAACCAGTCTCAGTCCGAATTTCGAGTAAAATGTTCAGTCATTTAATATTATTCAATCGGTAATATTAATCATTTAGAAACCAAAAGTCAGTGTTAATGAAGTCGAAATCAGTCAGCGAAGTAGAATATGTGATCTGTTTGACGTCAGTACAATGGTTCAAACTTGACGTGCTCACCACGAGACCCAAAGATCCTGATTCGTAGGAGAGCACACTACTGAGAAGTTTCATAATATTACAAAAATAGCTAACTACACATGACACCATCTGAGCTTTTTCTTCAAAGAATTTAAACTAATTTATTTATGTTGGGGAGAACAAACCAGCTGCCAGATGAAGAAGAAATTAGGAAAAGACGCTGGGAGTGG